TTAATAGGCAATCGTTCGATGGGCTGGATTGCACAAAACGCATGATCGCACCGGCTAGTCTGGTGCACGTTGCTATTTATTTTTTTGCACGAGTACTGGTTCTGTGATGTTCGATGACAGACGATTGTCAGCAGCAGCAACCTGCTGCGCCTACAAATCTAACGTCCATTCGCATCTGGTACTGATGCCGTACACGCTCCTCATCTGAACGTTCACTTGTTCCCTTCCCGTTCGCTGGAAATGACATTTGTCGCTTTGGACAGACGCCGCTTCATCGTTGTACTGGAATTATATTACCTGTCAGTGTGCAGGAGAGGTCAGGTTTCGCAGAATTGTTGAAATAATTACGGTGGAATCGCTGCAGCACAGCTGTAGCTGGAAGCTGGCCATTTGCACAAATCATCGCGTTGGCCGACTTCAGTGAAGCCGCTTAGTGTCTTTTCACTGACTACCCTCACAGTTGCTATTCACCAACAAGCGACGCCTTTCAGCCAAAGGTACCAAGTAGTCGAAAGGAATTATCAGTTAGGAATCACAGGGAATGCTCGATACATTGCGGTGGTTGGACATTGTGTCTTTATGTCAAGAGCATAATCTGCACAGGACTTTTATACGTTTTTCTGATCAATTTAAGATTTTTCGTTGTTTGGCATGCCATTTCTGGTAGCTTGGCTTGACTGCCTTTTATGAGTCTTTGTGATTTATAAAGCTGACCGTGTTCTCTTCAGGATGAGTGTTGTTGGCACAATACCGTATCTTGCGCCGGAAGTGATCCGTGATCGTAAATGCTCGAAGGCGATGGATGTTTGGAGTTTTGGACTTGTTTTATGGGAGGTTCTAACCGGCACAACACCTTTCGAAGGCCTTGGTCCCGGTGCTGTACAGCTGCAGGTGAAGGTTTTTCGCTTTTCTTTATCATTCATTCTTAGCGCTGCCGAATTATTGACTGAAATATCGCTTTTTATATCACAGTTTTGTATGACTCCGCTCTTTTGATAGTTCGGCAGGGAGACGGGGTGGAGTGGGGATGGAGAACTCTGCAATCGATTTCGACTCCATGCTCCTCCTTCGAAAAACTTGGTTGGCATTCCGCTCTAAGAGGCCGTTGTAGACTGTCGATTGTTAGCGTAGACTGGATTTGTTAGAAATTTGCGTCACCTCACTGTGTCGCATCATATGGGCGCAATCTAGTCACATTTAAGAAGAGTGAGACTAACTGTTTCCGTGTAAAATGCTCAGGATCATTTCGAATCTAATGGGGTACTGTTCCCGTCGTCAGCAGTGCTAGATAGTGTGAAACAAGGATATTTGTTTCATCTGCGGGATAGGAATTAAAGAAAATTAGCTAATTCGCCCCAATTTTTGATCCATTCAGTATTCCAAACTTTTTTCTGTATGAAACGAGTAACACACAAACAGTACACAAAGTAGTAGTGTAACGTATTTGATAATGAGGACATCTTCAACTTCCAAAACGGTTTATTTAAAATGTGTTGGTCCTTCTGACGACAGCTTAGTCTGTCATGCACCCAGACAATCATTCAGAAGGTTGCACCTCTTGATCCCGTAGGGCATTGAGTTCATGGAGTTCAAGTGTAAACAGTGCCTTTGTACTGCAGAAGTAAATAATTGGGTGATGGGCTGTTAAAAAAAATCCCTTAACCGCTCAAGTTGCTGATGTGTTGGCGCCCGACGCGAAGGCAACCTGCTGGCGCTTTGCGGATGGCTGTTTGCTTCCCCACTTGCATTGTTCGCCGCGGCATGCACATCTTTCTGTTGTCAGAAGAGGAAGCAGAGTAAATATTTTCTTTTAAGTGGGGTTTTGGCCCATCAATTAATGCGCAGATAATATAAAATTAATTTATTGATAGGAAGGCCTGTGCCGCTCAGAGGGCACCAGAAATACAACATTGCTTAAGCAGCTGATGCAGTGAAGCATGTCTTCTTTCGAATTCAAATATTTTTTGCGCAGCAGTGGCTGCTCTGGACGCGATCACAAAATAGATAGATTGAACTTTTATGTAACCTCAAATTTGGGTTGTTAAACCATTAGAAATAATAACAAAAAACAATAACACCCACAATCTATGTGCGCCTAGTACACCCCACCCGAAGCCTCCCCGCACGTGATCTTATCATAATATCCTATAGCGAGGCCAAGACAA